ACATAGATATGTTACATGTTTTAATACATTTTGTTTAAAATTGTTTTCGTTAAACATGTTTATTATGCAGCACTATTTTATTAAATTTTTCATAATGATTAATTACATGGTCAAAAAATAGATGCCCTCAATTTTATGACTCCCCCCCCCGGTCAAACAATTTTACCACAGTAACCCAACCAAAGATATATACGAAAATACATTTTCATCGTCCCTCAAATTTATGTACAAATAAATCCTTAAGTTTTTTATTTATTTTTTAAATATACAATTGTGCAAAGATTTCCATTAGACACCATTCGGTAAAATGTCTTCAAATCGATGGAAAAACAGCTTATGAAATTATGATATGTTATTTTGTTTATGGAACCTTAAAAAACAACCCAAATATATAATTTTATTTTAATGAAGAAAAAAAACGTTTATCAAAAATATTCAATAAAATCGTGTAAAAATAAAAAAATTCTAAATAGTATTTAAACAGGGCATAGAATAAAATCAGAACCTGATATTCTGTTTAGTTAAAAAAAAGACGAAGAAGAAGATATAATAAAATATTATTTATTTCTATTTATTAATTATAATGTATCAAAGAGTGTTTTCATTCATCGTAAAAATAAACTCTTTAAACGGATTTATTATGCAGCGTAGAAACGTATATATTTATTAAGTTTATTTTCTTATCTTCGCACAATGATTTAAATAAATCGTTTATTTATTAAAAATACCATTTATGGGAAAATTGTAATGAAAAACTTTACATAAGAATGATTTTTTTTAAAGATCGGAAATATAGTACGCCTGAAACAAACTATATTGTCGTCTCTATAATCTGAGATTGTTTTATTAAGTACAAAATTAAAAAGGCTGACACTTCTGATGGATTTGCCACTATTTTAGAAATATGATGGGGAATTAGATTATACAGAGTGTAATGTATTTTATATCAGTACTCAACAATAAACTATTTCTAACAAAACTCGATTTTGATTTCTGAAAATATGTGTCCTAATAACTTTAATAAATAGTGTACAAATGAAAAGAAGTCCTAGGATAATAGGGAAAGGTGAAGCCATTGTTATAGGTAATTTAATATATAGGCAAAGATAAACTATTTTGCTTACGAAAAAACGAAGCTGAGCGGAGTTCAATTGATAGTGATGCTTTGTTATATAGCTATAACAAGTTATACTATAATTAAATAGGCGCTATACAATTTTTTTAATAATATATGTTAAAGGTTGTACCAATTTTTATCATTCTCCTTTGTTTTTTCCTGGTTTATCCGTATTTTTTCCCAGTTTTGTAGATTTAATGGGAAAATTCCAGAGGAAATCGAAAAATAACCTCTTTAAAGTACACACCCAGTGAAATTTCCTTTTTGAAAATTTTTTATCATTATAAGTTGGAGCAAAATTTCTCCTAGAAAAGTTGTCCACAGAAAGAAAGAAAGCCGTAATATTTTGAACTAATACCTACATTTTTTAAATTTTCCCATTTTTCCTCTGTTTTTTTCGTTTTTCATATTCGTTAAAAAAATTTCGGAGAGAATCGAAAAACGATCTCTTTGAAGTACCTTCCCAGTGAAATTTTATTTAAAAAAAAATTGCTATCGTTGCATATTGGAGCAAAATTGGTGGTAGAATAGTTGTCCATAGAACAAAAAAAAAAAAATAACTAAAATAAGGAACGAAAACTGGTAAAAGGCTGTATTTAAATAGGTACAGAAAATTATTAGGTTGGTAATGATAACTGAAATATATCCAGGCACCCTTTTCTAAATCAACTAAATCAACATTGATTCGTAAAAAGGGCGTTCAACTGCACAATCAAAGCTTGTATACTCTGTGTACAAGGTATAATATATATGTGTACGAATAATTTTATTGTTTTCCATGATAATATGCGTCAGTAATAATGGTTTTATTTTTTTTTTCAAACAGTTTTTTCTTCTTGAAAAAAGGCAGTATAGAATATTCGAATCTCTATCTGAATATTGAAGTACGAATGTCACGTACGGTAAATATTGTTTAAAATATTGGCCGAAATAGTTCTATGTTGGGTCGGGCTTTTCATACCGGATGATAACATTCCCCTAATCATCAGTCGGCCTGATGCATTGAGCCACTGAATCGGACCCGGACGTTTTAACGCCGCCGTTTTTTATGCCGTCACCAATTAAAGCCGATTTACTATACTTGCTTACATTTTGACAACAATTTGCAAAGTTATATAAGTTATAAATTAAAATTTGAAAAAAAAATTGTTGTGAAGTACATTTACAAAAAAAAAAATAATAATAATATATAGTTGGAATATTTTGACCCAAGAATCTAAGACGAAAACGTCGTAGTCGATAAATATAATAATAATATTAAGTTCCGGTTTTATCTATCACGGTGATAAATTGAATTCGCCCGATTGTTCGGTGTCATTATTTTCTATAGTTTACAAAAACGTCGTCTCTAGTGAAGTGCACAAAGTTATTGTTCATTACATAGTTTTATAAAACTTAAAAACACATTATAATACGTATTATTATAATGCATACAATTGATAATGATAAAAGAATTCTCAAGTTAGTCTCTAATTATCATAAAAATAGAATTATATTGTTTTTAAGACTTAAAAACAATATAAAATTTAAGAGGAATTACGAACAACGTTTCGTTAGGATAACCATTTTTAATGTAATTATTATATCTTGATGTAATCATTTTGAAATTAAGTTTTTATACCTAATTCTAAATACAACTATTTGAACACGTAATTTAAAATATTATTTATATTGAATAATGATATAGTAATATTATTTTATATTACGATTTTATATAAACAAATAATGTGTTTATCAACACAGTGCCACATCGCCGGCACCAAAACGTCCTAGATCACATTGAATATGTAATTTAAATAATACAAGGTGTCCTACAATAATATCCTTATGCTAATAGGTCTATTAATAGTCACTTTTTTTATCAATCGGATTTTATGCGAGGGGAACACATGTAGAGAAAAATTTGATTTTTTTTTCCATCCCTCATTCGCTGAAAAAAATAACTTTTATTTTTCAAATTTTTAAAATTTTCGAAATGACAAATTTGTAAAAATTGTTATGTTATATGCATTCATATCTGATTAATAGTTTCTTAGTGGCTCATTTTATAGAAAATAGGCTTGAAAACAATTAATATTTAATAGAAAATAAGGAATTACCGTGCTGATTGTGATTCTTTATCGCTTCCCACAGAAACTACTCAAAATTTGACTTATTGTTATTAACATGTTATTATAAATAACACAAAAAAAATAAAATAAAATACAACAAATATATAAAAAAATACAATCTCATAATTTTATTTAATACAAAAACACATTTCAATTTTTTTTCTTCAGTGGTAATTATATCAACGTTTTGATCAGGAAATATTGTTTATTGTACAGTGATACAACTGTGATATATATTTAACGTTTTTATAGTGGTTTTGAAGTGAGTTGCTAGTGTTAAAATTGTTCTGTGTCACAATCGTACCCAGTCTCCCTACCTGCCGAATAAAAATTACGTAAAAAAACTAGCCAGAATGTCAATAAATAACCTTAAAATCGACTAAATATTTTGAAATGTCTATGTTTTTTTTTTCGGGTTTTGCTCAATTATAAAGACAATTACACGCAAATTAATAGAGCAACTTTCTTATTCACCAACTAGATTCAAAATATTACAGAAAAGGTGTATTGGCGTTTTTCAATTGAAGTCAGTAAAAATTAAAATAATGAGATCATAATGACGTAATTTTGACAGTTTTAATTTTTTATCGTTCCCCGATTTATCTCCATTATTACGAAAACTACTTGGAAAATAAAAAAAACGATTTATTCACTTTCCAATATTTTGGAATATTTAGATAAAAGCAATATTTCTGGTGGAAAACATAGCACGTGAAAATTAAAAACTACAAAATCAGTAACGCCGTAGTACGCCGTAAATATTTGCTTTTTTCCTTTAACTTTTTTTCCGATTTTACCCAATTATTTTGAAAATCACAGAAAATAGCGAAAAATTGCTTCTTAATAGCACCAACTATATATAAAATATAACGCAATAGGTCTTTTGTCATTTTCCGTTTGGAACAAGTCTTCTGTTCAAAAAGTTGTATAAAAAAAGAAGAAAAACACAAATCATATAGTGAAACCAATAGATCTCTTGCTCCACTCCTGAATATTAAATTCATTATATATATTTTTAATAGTACACTACATAACACAATAAGAAAATATTTAAATAACATGATTTATTAAACTTAAATATTTTTTTTTTACCTTTTCGAAATGATTGTACCGGGTGTATTATCATTTGTCCGATAACAGCCCCAAGCCCCCAGATTGCTAACCATATATACTCGTATAGTGTCTAGTGAAAACATTTTGTGACACGGTTCACCGGTTATCACGGAAATTACGGGTCTTCTCGTCCTCCTAATTATATATTACAAATAATCAGTGGCGTACGGAGGGGGGTGATTGAAATTATATCTTCAACCAAAGCAAAAAAAAAATAAAAATATAATTCATTTGATATCGAAATGCATATATTTCAGTCAAGATACGAAAAAAAACCTTGACGTATTATTTTTTTTTTTTTAAGCATCCGGCTTTTAAATTATCAATTTTATACAGTCGAGTCACGTATAGAAAACGGGTTTACATTTTGTTTTTTTCTTACCACGTCCTCTCCTATTGAAAATTCCTATATAATACGCCGACGACTTTACGATGAGCACAACGAGTACCAGACGGTCTACGAGGACGAGTCGGCCGTTGTCGCCAGGACCCGATCGGAGGTAAAACGTATTTTGATGCGGCCCATATCCGCGTCCAACTTAGTAGCTAACTCGATTATTTAGTTGCCCTGTGGTGGAACGTCTGGCGGCCTGATGATCACAGTGACCGGTAAGTGATTCACGCAAGCTTTCGTTATTGAGTACCGTCCAGAATGGATTTTGGGTTATGCTATTATGGTGACTTTAACTCAATATATTTCTGCCGGACCAGCCCCCGACCACCAGGCTCTGGTGATAACATTTGCTGCCGCAGGTAACTGCCAGGCTATCACTGGCGCCGATCTTACACCAACCGTAGATTTAGAAACAAAAACACCAACTAACTTTTTGTCAATATAGCCACCTACAACACACGCCTTCTCGAAATCGTTTTTAATAACACATAAATCGATACCACCGACGATACATCTCCCGAATTCACATCTATCCAAGAAACTTCCTTATTAATTAACGCTACCGGTAATATAGATTAAGACATCACCGCCAAAAACAACGCAATTAGAAAACGGTACGTGGTACGTAGAAGGAGGTGGTACGCATATCCTTTTGAAATCAACCCCCCCCCCCGAGGACCCTCCTCTTCTATTACCGCCATAAATAACACGCCAACTAAAAAAATGTTTGTTTAATTTGGCTCTCTTTTATGTTGCTTGTTGGGCAGTATACAAATTCATTTCATAGATACATTAAATCTAAACCGAAGATCTTCCTTATCTTAAACCAGTAGTCTAGTTTGTTTTTGTCCAGGGTTCACAAAAATGTTTATACTTAATGTTGTCTTTTCTTATCTGAGTACAAGCGAATATCACGGATGCTAAAGGTCAGATTTTAATGTTATGTCATTTTGATGCGGTAATTTCAACACGCGTCAAATGGACGCGATCATTTTGACGCTTTTTTTTTACTTATTATAATTGATTTATTTTCCAAAACAAATGTATTTATGCATAAAATATAAATAAAATTAATTATTTTTAAATATAGAATGAATACACTCAATAAATTAAATATGTATTTCTTAAGTTCTCGTATACAATTTTAAATTGCACGTCAGCACGTCAGAGTTAATATTATTAATCTCTGTTGTATTTCAAAATAAAAATAAAATAAATATACTTAATAAATGAAACATGTATTTCTTATGTATACAATATACATTGTGCGTAATCCTTGTATTTTTCAAAATAAATGTACGTACACAATTACAATGAAATCAATTGTTCTTAAAAATAAAATATACAATCTTTAGAAATATCTAAAATACTATTACATGTTACATACATTTATTTTGATAAATAATTCAATAATAATAATTTTAAAAAATACATATGCGTCGAAATGTAGGTGCGTCAAAATGTGCCATGCGCCCAATTGTCTCGAGTCAAAATGACCGCTTCTATTTGACGCTCGTCGAAATTACCCCGTCGAAATGACGTGACGCCGAAATACCGACCTTTGGCGTCCGTGATATTCGCTTGTACTCGGATAAGGGAAGACACCATCAAATATAAGGAATTTCTTGAACCGTGTTTTGCATGAAAATAAACTGGATTACTGGTTTGAGATAAGGAAAATGTTATACGTTGAAGCGTGAGCGGCCTTGTCGCGACCAACCACCCAGCAGTGCAAACTTTCGCCCGTGTTTCCATTAAGTCACTATGCTACTCCCGGTCGCTTGTTTTACCCCGCACTTCACAAAATGGCTGCACGGCCAAAAATATACAAAAAATTAATGCGACCGATGACGCAATCTTCAGTACTGGATAGTGTCGATATGTCACGTAGCGCATTAGGTGTTTACCCGTTTCTCCCACTGCGTGCATCACGGAACGCCGAATCAACCGAACGGATATACACCCAACCTCCAACATTCAACCCGGTCACGATCAAGGTAGGCTCGGTGCCTCCACTCAGCGGCTCGGACGCATAATTAAAGTGTTACCTGTCTCCGACGGGGTATTCCTTACGCGTGGTACGCGTTCCGACCTCGCGCGGTGTATTCACTATCGGCACGTCGCGAAAATTATATTACCACCCACCCGATGATATTGTAACATTCTCAAACATGAGTGCCTTAAACACTTCATTTTTATTGTATTTGTACGGCCATAAGCAACCCTTTTATATTTTTCGCCACACGCAATAATTTCGCGTTGTCTTTTTTTTGTTAGTATAAACACACTGTTAGTGATAGCGAATAGTCAACGTCCCCCACACGTGTATTCTCGCGGTTCGCCCCACAATCGCGCCGCCGCATGCCTCCTAAAATCATCCGTCGCCGTGCGACGTCGGTACGCGCGGCGCTTAAATACCAAGCGGCCGAACGAAATTATTCACTTTTCTCCCGCGACTTTTGGCGACTGGACGCTCTCCAGCCTACAACAGTCAACCTATACACACATAAGATGAGTAATCCCTGCTTTATCGGCAACGAGATTCGCTCTTACCGTTGACCAGTACATCTCAAACTATCCCAAATTCAACCGCGTTTAAGGTTCAGTTTCTAATCATCCGACCAGATTTGTAGTGCCGTTCCATTTACCGAACCTCCCGTGTTATTTTAAATATATTATTATCAACACTTTTATAAAATGCTTTCAATTTGTTTTTAATGTCGAATTGCACACTGATTTAATTGTAACGCAATGACACTGCTTATAGACTAATTTATTAAATTATACACACGAAAATCAAAACCCACGTACACTAAACCCAATTTTTCTGTAAATCGACTTAAATAAATAAAACGATTATATGTAAACTACTATTTAACACTTGTGAAATGAAGAAAAACTGTTTTATAAAAAAAAGCACTTGTGTTCAATTTAATGAAACGACGGAAAATCGTCGGCTCGTTACAATATGTGTTCCCCGCCTTTTTGTTTTACGATTCTAATCTCATAATATCAAATGTTTACAACAGATATTTACAACGTTGTTTTTTTTTTTTTTTTTACTGGCCGAATTTCAATTGATAATGCTGTTTTTTTAACAATATATATGTCATATTATGGTAAAATTCCAATTATTCCAATTCCAAAATTAAAATGGATCCCATTTTTCCCATTTTCCTCCGTTTTTTTCGGTTTTTCACATTTTTTGAGAAAACTCTGGAGAAAATTAAAAAATTACTTCTTTAAATACCTTCTCAGTGAAATTTCCTTTTAGAAAAACTTCTATCATTAAAAGTTGGAGCAAAATTGTGGATAGAAAAGTTGTCAACAGAAAAAAAAATCGTAATAACATATTAATAAACTAACATATATATTTCGTACATTTTCTCATTTTTCATCCATTTTTTTCGGTTTTTCTGGTTTGATGAAAAAACTCTTAAGAAAATCGAAAATTGACCTCCCTAAAGTACTTTTCCATACAGATTTCCTTTCACAAAAGATGTTACACATAAAAACATCTGATAGAGAAGTTGCTCACAGAACAACAAAAAAAATAATAAATAATCATCTTAAAAACCATAAGCTTCTTCGCTCGACTCAGAATCTAAAACCCTGAAATTATTACCGTACACATCGAAATATGACTAATCATATTAAGGTAAATATAGGTACAGTTGCGGATTATTTGTCGTGATTTATTATTTATTTACCCGACGAACGCCCGATACTTTTTTCATTAGACTAACATAAAAGTTATTGTGTACATTTTTTCTCTCTCTTTTTTAAATATATATTTAACAGTTTACAAAAAAAAAAAAAAAATGAGTTGCTGTGATTGTGTAAACTTAAATAATATGTTGATTCGCGTGTATTGTAATCGTAATAATATAATAATACGATTAATTATTGTATTGCGGGACAAAATATCGTACACATAATAACTAGTGGCATTCTCAGTATATTAAAAATACACAGTGTTCGATCGGTAGAAACAAATTTTTGAAATATTTGTTGAAATATTCAACAATTCACCCCTATATGTAGGTTTTGAAAAAAAATATTTTAGTTAAAAAGGATATAAAATAGTGATTTAAGATAAAATAAAAACCGATTTAAATTTCCAGTCGTTACTCAGTCGGGGAAGTGGGGAAGTATTACCTTTTTTAGAAATGTCACAATGGTTTCTTCTTCGGGTAAAAGAAAGGTTGAAAAACAACACGAGAGCGGCTTTTAGACCGATTGCGTGCAAATGTTTCTCGGGAATTTCTCGCACGTATTTTATTGTTTCCTTTCCCGCTAGTATATTACTATTATTATTAAATAGGTACAATACTGCACTTGCTAGCTAATCGAATTCCGACCTGCAGCTACAGTTCAAAAAAAAACATCCATAGACGTACCTTGGCTGCAATAATAGCGAGTATGTCACGGTAGCTGCTTTTACAGGTAGTTATTGTATAAAAAAAAATTTGGAAATGTTAAAATTCTAATTCTCGAAAAGATTTTATTTTTCGAGGGAGATTAAAAGAAAAACGGTCGTTTTAGGAAAATTAATAAACAAATTTACCGGAGAATAAAAAAAAATTCCACTTGCAAGTATAAACCATCTATATTAAATAACCCAAAAATCTATAAAAACAAAAACAACCCAATGCAGATTCCAATGAGTTAACTGTAGAAAATTTCGATAAATTATGTTTTAAACATTTTATCATCGGACACAAATTCGCACCTTTTCAGATATAGTATGATATACCGGAAAACTTTCACTAACTGAAAAAGTGTTTTTGTAACGGTACAAATACACATTATTGTAAAACTAATAGCTTCTTCGCTATAATCAGAATCTAAAACAAAAGTATAGTTTCTGCAATTATATTATTATTTTTTTTTTCATTTTTGCGAAAATAGTACAAACAATTTAAAAAATAAAATAAAATTTACTAGACGAAAACCGTTTTTCATCGCATTTAAATTATATTTTAGGGTATTTCAATTTTTTCGGAATGATAATGATACCTATAATAGTAGTCTTAAACACATATAATTGAGGGCCATGATATCTTTCATTTGTATCAAAGATAAAATGCGTTTCTCACGTGACCTTTTCGCCCGTTTCGAGTTGAATACAACGACGAAATAAAATCCGGAACGTCGTCGCCGCCGCCGCCGATGCGGTAAAAATCGTCGGGAGCACGACAACTGCAAAATAATAATATTTCGCCGGTCGTCCGGGAAAAGGGCAATCTCGAAAATTACCATTATTATTATGACATCGAAACTCGTGTTTTAACACAGACGTAAACACCCGCAATAATTTATTGCAGTTTATTATTGTTATTATGTTTTTTTTTTTTTTTTTTTTTTTTTTGTTTTAAAAAATGATTATTTCGGCGAAACAAATTTTCCGGCACGCGTCGTTTAATATTATACGTAATACCGGACGAGGTAACGGCGCGAGGGTTTTACGTAATACGGACGGACGGACCGATTATTTTATTTTTCATATAAAACGA